GGACTAGAAGCTGGATTTCCAGCTTTCCAGGCTCCTACCCAGGAGCTACTGAGATGACACAGTGGTTACTCTGGTTGCTGCTGGAAGAGGGGCTCCCCTCAGGGGAAATGAACTGGGGGGCCTCCCTCGCAGCCGCATCGGGCTCAGGCCTGACCTGAGAGTCCCTCAGTCCCCATCAGCCCCTCTGCTGGTGGCCTCCAGGTACATGGCTAGTTCCAGCCTCCCCTGAAGGGATGTTAGGGTTCCAGGGATGACCCTGTGAACATGTGATGTGGAAGAGGAGAGGAGACATGGAGGGAGCAGGTGCAGGTCTATAGGCAGGACTCCTGATTTTAAATTACAGAATCCTTGGGCGCCTGGGTGGCTCAGTTGGTTGGGCGACTGCCTTCGGCTCGGGTCATGATCCTGGAGTCCCGGGATCGAGTCCCGCATCGGACTCCCTGCTCAGCGGGGAGCCTGCTTCTCCCTCTGACCCTCCCCCCTCTCATGTACTCTCTCTCATTCTCGCTCTCTCAAATGAATAAATAAATCTTTAAAAAAATAAAATAATAAAATAAATTACAGAATCCTAGGTCAAATGGACTGCAGCAACAAGGGAATTTTTCAGCTCATGCCATCAGAAAGTCCAGTGGAAGATAAAGCTTTAGGCGTAAGTGGAACCAGGCACTCAGTGGTATTCTTGCAAACCTATATATTCTCATTTCTCAACTCTGCCATCCCTTGGCTTTATTTTGCACAGTTTCCTTCCTGGTGTTAGTATCAACAATGCATAGGACAGTAGCTGGTATATAGTTCACCTGGCTCTAGAAGCTCCAGGCTCACTTCCAACCAGCTTTGCAAACCCCGTGGAAAACCTGCCTCCTCCCCAGTGTTGCAGCAAAATCTCCAAAATGGACTCTGAGGCACCCCGCGAAGGTCACCCATCCACCCCTGAGCCAGTTACAGGGCCTGAGGAGCCACTGTTCTTTCATGGACAGGCCGAGGTCACAGGGCCACCACTCCCAGATTGTCAAGACTTGAGGAGGGGAAGGAGGGGATCCCCCCAAGGAAAAACAGGAGGCAGGTCATCATCGTGAGAGGCAGTCTGGGAATTGGGTGGAAGGAACTGCGGAGGAGAACAGCGACTGCCTGCGGGACAGGCCAGATAGCTGGACCTGGGCCCTCCCTTCCCCAGAGAACTGGAGCCTGGTTATCTGGGAGGATGGGTGGGTCCTGAAGTCACCAATAGAGGCTGTCAGCCAACTAGACTTCTTGCAGGTCAACAGCAGGTTCTTGCATGAAGGGGAATCCAAGCGGCGTACCTCTTCAGCGGGGGGACGGGGGGAGTAAAAAAATTCAAAAACGGGGTCCAGGCAAGAAACAGAGACCCTCTCATGAGGGACCACTGCTCCAGCGAAAAGGAAGGTGCTGGGATCTTCCAGAGCCCTGGGCAGGAAGTGCGGCAGCCCATGGGCATGGACTTGGAAAGCCGGCACCATGGACTCTCCTTCTGTCAGGGGCTGCCCCATCCCTGGGACATTCCGGGCCCCTGTTCTCTCCCCCACAATCCCCCAGCCCCGAGGCTGCCCTGGGCCTTCTCAGCCCTGTGCCCACCTGGGGCCACCATGGTCACTGACCTCTTCACTCACCTTCCTAAGAGAGAACCTCTTGCTAACTTTGCCAAGCCTCAGCTTCCTCATCTGTAAAGCAGAGGTGGAAACTGTGAAGAGTAAATGAGGTGGGGCATTTTGCACAGTGATGACGTGAGGTCAGTGCCCAATAAGAACATTTGCCCAGCTTTTGGTGGGGATTCCATGAGCTCGGCTGACGGGCCTGGTGCACAGCCGGGGTGCAGGAGATGCAGGCTCTCTCTGTGCTCAGCCTGTAGGGGCCAGAGAGAAATGGAAGGAAGCAGCCTCAACTCCCAAATTCCCCAAAGCTACAGCTTCTCCTTCCTTGCACTCAAAATGGCTTTCAGTTCCAGCTTTAATTCCTGTTGAGTAGGAGGTAAGAAGGGGAAGTCGAAAAAGAGAAGAGAAATCAAGTTTTCTGCTCACCCCCCCCCCCCCCCCCGTGCCCGTCTCCTACCAGATTTGCCTGCTTTCGCAGCTGGCCTGATACCACGGAGGGGGGGAACCCCAAATTCCTCCAGGAGTGGTGGGTGTGGCCCCCTGCCCACTGTCCTCTCGGCGCCCAGGGGCACTGGCGTCCGGAACCTGGCCTTGGGCTGGCTTGAGGCGGGTTCCAGGGGCACTCCTGCCCCAGGCTGGCTGCTTCTGGGTCGGGACTGGGTTGGTGACTGTAACAGAGGGCATAATAACCCTAGAAGGCAGGCGCCATGACCCGTTTATCATGTGGAGACCCAGGTTCAGAGAGAGTAGGTGGCTTACCCCGGTCACTCAGTAAGTTGGTGATGGATCCCAGTCTGTCTGACTCGCCAGGGGAAGGAAGCTGAGTCTTGATCCCTGTCATCCTGTGCCCTTGATGCTAAGCTCACAAGCCAGAGGCCAAGCAAGGGGGTTTCCAGGCCGTATTTCCCAGCAGGCAGGCTGGCCAAGTTTAGGAGGCCTCTTCCCACATCCAGCCTGGTCTGGGCTGGTTCCTGGCTGGCTGGCAGACAGTGACTCAGGCTTCCAGCTCCTGCCTCTGGCCTCCTCATCCCTTCCAGATAGGAGGGCCTGGGAGCAGGGATGGGGAAGGAGCTATGGAGTCATCTAAAGGGGATCCTGAGGCCATAGGATCCAAGCAGCCCAAGGAGCTTCAACCCTTGCCAGTTTTTCCTTACGTCTATCCTGAATTGCATCTGCTGTGGGCACAAACCAATCCCACGTGTTGCCTGAACTGTAAAAAGGAAGCTGGCAGAGGTTGTCCCTTCTATGAAGTGAGGGACTTCTGTGTTTCTGCCACGGGTGTACCCGGAACGGAGATGGGTGGTGGATGCCTGGTGCTGGGGCAACACTCCCGGGGCCTCTACCTCAGATGGACAGGGCTCACCACTGGCCCTGTCCCCCTGCCAATGTCCCCAGTGGCTCCTGTGAGCCACATGGACCAGGTGAGGCTCTGAGAGCAGGGCTTGAGCTGATATGGGAATAAATAGCAGAAAGGCTGGGGAGTGGGTCAAGAGGAACTAAGGCTGGGAGCCCAGGGCTGAGGTTGCTCAGTGCCAGCCCCAGAGGGGAGGCCTTGGCGATACGCAGACCTGCCGCACAGCCCCCACCCCGGGGCAGCCAGCAAAAGGCTTGAGACTGGCCATCCCAGGCAGTCTGCTGGCACCATCTCATGGCCAGAGGCCCTCAGTGCAGGAAAGACAATCCTCTGGGAATTTCCCGCCTTGAACTTCTAAGCATGGATTTCAGGGAAACCATGGATAAGGAATTTGTATTGAAATGTGCCCTGGCTGGGACACCTTGGGAAACTCGCTGACCTTTCCTGAGTCTTACTTTCTTCATCTGTAGAATGGAGAGAACACTCTCGCCCCCCACCCGCCCGGAACTGCAGAGAAAACCCCCGGCAGAGGGGAGGCTGTTAAGAAATGACACTGGGTGCAGGGGACCCAGAAATTAGCATGGACTGCCGTGGGCGGAGGGAGTCCAAAGTGGGGGCATTCAGGCTGGGCCTGGAATGGATTCATTCAGTTAACAAGAGTGTATTGCGTCCATACCATATGCCAGGACGCCTCCCCTACACGGTCTCATTTATGTCCTACAACCTCCTAGATGGCAGGTACCACTAGTCATTCTCATTTGAGAATGAGATGTGAGAACTACAGGAAGGATAAGCAGGAATTATTCGGAGAAAGTGGGGGGAAAGCATCCCAGGCAGAGGAAACAGCACACACAGTGGCCTGGGGCCCAGAAAGGCTGGTGGGGAAGGGCTGAAGCTGGACTCCGGAGCCCTGGCAGGCCTGGGAGCAGGGCCAGCCCCCTCAAGCCGTGTTCTGAAGGTTTTCAACGGGCCAACCCCCTCAGGCCTCCCACCAGGCCCCTTTTCACACGACACATCCCACGCTACGCTGTTCTTCATTTCTCACACAGGGGTCAGCTCCTTCCCCACCCGTGTGCTTCTTGCCTAAGATGCCCTCTTCTCTCTTCATTCACCCAAGCCCCCCTGGCCCTTTAAGGCCCAGCAACAGACATGTCTTCTCCAGGAGCCATTCCGGGTCACTTGTCCTAAGTGTACCCATAACCCCCAAGATCTGAGCTCTCATCTGGGCCCCACCCAGATAGCAAGAACTCAGACTCAAGCCCTGGCCTGAGGCTGACACCTCCAGGAAGCCCTCAGAGCTGCTACCATTCTTGGGACAGACACCGTGATAGGGGTGACCACTGGAGGTTGTCTTGGGAACCCAGCAAAGGACTGGTTGCTGGGCTGACAGCCGGGTCTCCTTGCCCTCCGGGGCTCCAGCAGCACTAAAATCAGAACAGGAGGCCACATGTGCAACAGGCACAAGCAAGCCCTTAGCACAGACCTGAATAAACGGTAGGTACTCAATCCTTGCACAACTGACCAAGTGTTTCCCAGCAGTTAAAACCTGAATTTTCTCAGTTGGACCCAAAGTTTTGGCCCCAACTCAGTTCCCCAATCTCCTTGCCTGTAAAATGGGTTTGGGTGGGAGCTCAGTGCTTACACCTTCCAGGGTAAAAAGGGTCCTCCCTCACTCTGGCAGGTCATCCTCACAACATGCTGGTGGCCAGTATGACCACGTTCTACTAAGGAGGCTCAGAGAGGGGAAGGGGCTTGTGAGTAGGGGCCACACCGTGAGTCGGGGCCAAAGTAGAACAAGAACCTGGACCTCAAATGCCCAGGGCAGTGTTCTTTCCCTGTGCGACCCTGTCCCCCGCCTCCCTTACTTACCTTAGCTGCTCCCACTCAAAGCCTACCTCCTCCAGGTCACGCCCCTCAAATGCTGCCTCTACTACTGGAGCTCGCCTCCTCGGGAAAAGGAGAAGCCACCTCACTTCCTCTGGCCATCCTAACAGCTGTGAGTCTTGGTTTGGGAGTGAGGAGGGGTGGGAAAAGGGCTTGGCACCGGCAGGGAGACTCTCACTCAGGTGAGTTTTCAGGGGCATCACCTCTATCCCCACAAGCCATACCCATCACTCCCAGTAGCTCCAGACCTGCCATGTGGAAGGAGACAGTGAGTGCTAAATGGAGGTATGTGGGAGGATCTGAGGGCAAAGAGTAGGTGTTCAGTAAATGGTTTTGGAGAAAAGGAAGAGAGGGAAGGTGGGAGGGAGAAGGTGACCAAGTAACTGAGTGCTTAAGTGGATTGCCAGGCGGAGGGATGGACATGTCAGTGAATGAGCTAGTGAACGAATGGAGAAAGGGATGGTTGGGGGAGTGAGTGACTGGAAGGTCGCTCTGGGTGTTACAGCTAAAGGGGGAGCCAAAAGCTCTTTAATCACCAACGTGCCCATTTGACAGATGAGAAGACTGAGAGAGGGCTGAGGAGAAAAGAAGCTGCTGGGTCTGTGGGAATGGCTTTTGACCAGCAGCCTCTGGTTCTCCCCCCCACCTCTCTACCCCCCTCATCACCGTCTTTCCTCTGCTGGGGTGGGGAGGGTTCCAGGAAGGAGACATTTTCTCCGCCTCTTTGCTCCTCTAGGCCCCAGTTTCCGCCAGGCCTTGGTGTTGGGGATGGTAGGGAGGGGGTGGCCCCCGCAGGGGCTATTTCAGTCGGAGACAGCCCTGCCAGGAAACAGAGGAAGCCACCCGCCCCCTCGGAGGTGTTGCAGCCTGGGCTGCGGCAGGAGAGCGGAGAGCGGAGAGCCTCGCGTCTGGCCCTCCCTTGCGCTAACGCCCTTGAGGCCACCAAGGCGCTTCGGGGACAGGAGGCTGCCTGTGAGTGTTGGTGCATCTTGGCACCGTGGGCCAGGATGAGGTGGGCATGGGTGCTGGACACAAGGAACTGTGGCTTTGGGCAGGACCGAAAGGAGGGCGCAGTGTTGGGGGGTGGGGCAGATACAGGGACTCCACCCAGCTGGAGGACCAGAGAGGAAGAAGCAAGATTGGATCTGGAGCTGGATGGACACTTAGTGTTTTGACAGACAGACAGGGGATGAATGGCACTTCGTGTGGAGGGAACTGCAAAGATGGGGAGGCCGGAGAGGAAGTCTAGATCTCTGGCTTTGAATGGTCGTGTGGCAGCGTCGGTGTCTCAGGAACGGTGTGGCAGGACAGGAGGGGGCGGAGGGGCGCAACCTGGGGTGCCTTGGATGAGGCTGGAGGGCTCGGCAGGGAGCTTGAACGTCAGGAGCTGGAGCTTCTCCTCAAAGGGCCGAAGGATGCAGGGAAGGATGTCGTCAGAGCCACTTGCTAGAAAGCCCCCCACCATAGTCAGAGTGGCCGGAGCCCAGGAAGACATTGGGGCCTGAGCTGGCCCAGGGCTCAGGGCCCAAGAAAGAGTGACAGCCACGAGAGCTCGAGGAGCCAGGGCCAGCCACGGAGGCAGGGACCAAGGGAGCCCTCCCTCAGGACCAGCCCCTGCCCCGCCTTGGGCCTCAGAAGGCAGAGTGTATTAGGGAGCCAGGGGGACAGCCAGGCCTGCCTTTCTCCTCGCGTAGCCTCTGCCTCCTTCCAAGAGGACTAGTCTTACCAGGGAGTGGAGAGCAGAAAATATCTGGAGCCTCCAATCACCTGAGGCAGACAGCTCTCTTGGGGTGGTATCTGAGGACAACGGGCCTCCCAAAAGAGTTCGGAAAAACAGCACTGTTCCTTCTACCCGCTTCTTCCTCCTCACCATGACCATCTGCCCTAGCAGGCTGCTCTCCTCTCAAGCCCGGCCTGTTCTACCTTCCTCCCCACCCGAGGACACCCCTCTCCACCCAGGGATTTCTTTCTCAACCCCCACACCCTCCCTGGGTCATGCTCCATCCTTCATCCTCTTCTGAAAAGTCTTTTCTATCCTGTGGCTCACACTGGTCTCCCTCTTCAGACTAGCATATGTATATGTGTAATTTTTATATCTCTATCTACACCTGCATCTATATACTGTGCCTGCATGCATCCAGCAGGCAGTAAGTATGCATTTAAATGCCTGGCAGGTGAAAACAGCAGAATGGGGGTGCCTGGGTGGCTCAGTTGTTAGGTGTCTGCCTTCGGCTCAGGTCATGATCCTAGGGTCCTGGGATGGAGCCCTGCGTCGGGTTCCCCACTCAGCGGGAAGCCTGCTTCTCCCTCTCCCACTCCCCCTGCTTTTGTTCCCTCTCTCGCTGTGTCTCTCTCTGTCAAAAAGTGAATAAAATCTCAAAAAAAAAAAAAAAAGAAAAGAAAACAAGAGAATGAATGCATACATAAAAGAAAGGTCCAGACAAATAAATGAAGAGATGAGTAAATGAACTTTCTCCGCCTGTACTAATCTTGGCTTCCTGGCTACAATGAGGGCCTGCCCAAAGCTTCTGCCTCTGACTTCCCTCCATGCCTAACTGACTAGCTGAGCACCCAGCACTCCTAGCACATGGGCTGAAGCCCCACAAAGGGTTTTTCATAATTAAAGGTAATATGGCATGTGGGATACAGACTAGAGATCCAAACCTCATTTTGCAGGTGCCCAGAATCTGGGAAAAATATTTTCACCAGAATCAAATTTAAAGTTGGAAGAAATTAATTTGGGTAGTTATGTTTTGCTCTAACATAACTTTGAAAAATCTCATACTTTGACTTAGCAGGGTATATTCACATTAAGAACAGCTAACACTTGCCCTGTGCCAGGCACTGATCTTCATAACAACCCTATGAAGCAGGTACGATGTGATCCCATTTTATAGATGGGGAAACCAAGGCACAGAAGTCTAATAATGAGCCTAAGGCCCCACAGTTCACATGTAGCAGAGCTGGGATTTGAACCTGCGCATCTGAACCAGAGCCCATATACTTGGCCTCAACCGTCTATCCTGTTCTGTGTGCATTTGAAGGACTTCATGTTTTTTTCTTCACTTCAGTTTTTCCCATCTATTAACAGGGAGGGGGGTGATCTGACTCACTATCTCAAAGGCTTGGTCTTACAGGTCCATTGGATTTAAGTTGTGAATTCTCTCTGGACACCAGTAAATGTGGACATGCTGGTTGGGAAGTAGGTATCAAGAAGTCAGACTTAACTTCACCAGGGAACCCCCTAAGACACTTGTGCTGCTGACTCCCCCAAAACCTGAGGGAAGAGTGGAGGGATGAAATGTAGGATACAACAGCATAACATGGCATTTATTAAGCACCTACTGTATACCAGGCTTATGACACGTTTTACCGATAAGAACACAGACCCAGAAAAGGCAAGTGACATGCCTTGGGTTGAACAACACAGAAGCAGGGGTGCCAGGATTCGAATGAGGCTTGCCTCACTCTGAAGTTGGGCTTTAACCTCTACATTCCATGTCCATGGGCTACACTAAGTTGCATCCTCTCAGTCAGGTGGTTGGGTTCTGGTTCTGGCTCTGTTTCTAACTCACTGAGTAAAACTGAGCCACCACAGACTCTCGCTGTGCTGTATTTTCCTCTCTATAAAAAGCAAGCAATATGGGCGTCTGGGTGGCTCAGTTGGTTAAGCGACTGCCTTCAGCTCAGGCCATGATCCTGGAGTCCTGGGATCGAGTCCCACATCGGGCTCCCTGCTCAGCAGGGAGTCTGCTTCTCCCTCTGACCCTCCCCCTCTCATGCTCTCTCTCTGTCTCATTCTTTCTCTCTCAAATAAATAAATAAAATCTTTAAACAAAACAAAACAAAAGCAAGCAGTAGGGGCACCTGGCTACCTCAGTCGGTGGAGTGCATGACTCTTGGTCTTGGGGGGAGGGGGGGACTGTGAGTTCGGACCCCACCTGGGGTGTAGAGATTACTTAAAATAAAATCTTAAAAAAAAAAAAAGCCGTAGATTTGGCTGGTCCTCAGCCATTTGCCTTCAGGAACGCTGTTCTCACTCTAGCCACCAGGGGGTGCTGTGGCCCAGCAGCTAGGCCAGACAGGCATTCGTAGCCTCAAGTCAAGCAGAAGGATGCTTAGGGAACTCCTGAATCACTTTCTCCCCCCATTTTACAGATAAGAAGATTGCAGCCAAAAGAAGGACCATGGTTTTGGAAGGTGGAGTCCAGCCTGAGGAGGTGGGCGCTGTCCTTTGTCAGCTCACAATGTGTGGACGTTCTGTTCATGTTGATTAATTAAGAATTACCAGGGCCTTCTCTGCCCTGGACCCCAGACCGGGCTCTCAGACAAAGAGGGGCATCAGACCTGGCACTTCTCATCAGGAGGTTCCGACCAGTATAGGAGAGAAAGACAGGCAGGCTCACCATGACCATAATCTCCAAACTCCAAAAAGCCCAGGGGAAGCCCTGCATAGCTTGACTTAGTACCTCTAATCTCATGTCATCCTAAGAGATGGGTATATCATTCCCCCATTTTGCAGATAGGAAAATTGAGATGCAGATAAAGTATATCACTGGCCCAAGGTCACATAGCTAGTAGGTAGCACAGGTAGGATTCAAACTAAAGTCTGTCTGGGGTACCTGGCTGGCTTAGAAGGGTGTGTGACTCTTGATCTCGCGGTCATGAGTTTGAGCCCTATGTTGGGTGTAGAGATTACTTAAATAAATAAAACTTAAAAAAAAAAAAAGGTTTAAAACAAAAAAAACTAAAGTCTGTCAATCTCTATTTCCAGAGGAGACATTTGACTAGGGTTTTTGAAGGATGAGTAGAGGATCACCAGGAAGGTTGATGGGAAATGAATATTATAAAGTGAACTGGATTTTTCCCAAGCTTGAGCTTTACTGTATTCCAGGTTTCCTTAAAGTGAGGGCTGTGTGGGGTGGTGAGTATCAAAGATGGTTCAGGTGGCGATCAGGGCCCAGAGAGGGACAGGGGCCTACTGGATGGTCAGTGAGTGTGGTTACTGACAGGTTGTGTGTTGCTTCCCCAGCCTCTCTGGATGTAGGAAGCATAATCGGGCAGCCATGGAGTGGGGCAATGGTACACGCCAGGCCCTGGGCTCCCCGCCCACTACCTGCGTCTACCGAGAGAACTTCAAGAGACTGCTCCTGCCACCTGTGTACTCAGTGGTGCTGGTGGCTGGCCTGCCACTGAATGCCTGCGTCATTGCCCAGATTTGCACGTCCCGCCGGGCCCTGACCCGCACAGCTGTGTACACCCTGAACCTGGCCCTGGCTGACCTGCTCTATGCCTGCTCCCTGCCCCTGCTCATCTACAACTATGCCCAAGGCGACCACTGGCCCTTTGGCGACCTCGCCTGCCGCCTGGTGCGCTTCCTCTTTTACGCCAACCTACACGGCAGCATCCTCTTCCTCACCTGCATCAGTTTCCAGCGCTACCTGGGCATCTGCTACCCTCTGGCCCCCTGGCACAAGCGTGGGGGCCGCCGCACCGCCTGGCTGGTGTGCGGGGCCGTGTGGCTGGCCGTGACGACCCAGTGCCTGCCCACAGCCCTCTTTGCTGCCACAGGCATCCAGCGTAACCGCACCGTCTGCTACGATCTGAGCCCACCCGCCCTGGCCACCCGCTATCTGCCCTATGGCATGGCCCTCACCGTCATCGGCTTTCTGCTGCCCTTTATCGCCCTGCTGGCCTGCTACTGCCGCCTGGCCCATCGTCTCTGTCGCCAGGATGGCCCCGTAGGGCCGGTGGCCCGGGAACGGCGTGGCAAGGCGGCCCGCATGGCTCTGGTGGTGGCAGCCGCCTTTGCCATCAGCTTCCTGCCCTTCCATGTCACCAAGACAGCCTACCTGGCAGTGCGCTCCACAGCCGGTGTCCCCTGCACTGTGCTGGAGGCCTTTGCGGCTGCCTACAAGGGCACGCGGCCCTTTGCCAGTGCCAACAGCGTGCTGGATCCCATTCTCTTCTACTTCACTCAGAAGAAGTTCCGCCAGCGGCCCCAGGAGCTGCTACAGAAGCTCACGGCCAAGTGGCAGCGACAGGGTCACTGACTCCACTGGGGCAGGACACCTGGGGCCAGGTCACGGGAAACCCCTCCAACCCCAAACCATGCAGAGAGTTAGAGCTTAGCTCAGCTGGGCATGGAATGAGGTCCCCCACAGACTCCAGAATCTCACCAATGACTATTTATTGAGCCCTTGCTCTGGACCCAGCCCTGTGGACACAGAGAGACAGGCTTGGACCTGGCCCTCCAGAAGGTGCCAGTCAGCCCTGGAGTCAGGGAAGCCATGTGAAGCTGCTCACAAAAATATAGTATGGCATGTACTGTAACTGAGGAGTGTGCTGTATGCTTTGGAGTCACCAATCCAGGGACTGGGGGAAGATGGGAGGAAGAAGTGAGAGCTTCTGGAAAGGAGCATTTGAGCTGGATTTTGAGGGGATGAATACGAGCTCTCTGGAGGTGTGCGATGTTCCATTCATTCAGCAAACCTTTACCTACACCTTATCCTTGGGCCTGGGTTGATTCTGGGGCCCTGGGAGAACTGGTCCTAGCCCTGCCCCATATAGGCTCCCAACTACTGGACATATAGATGCTTGACACAGTGATATCAAGGCTGTGACAGAGAGAAGCATGGTTCAGGGGGTGGGGGGTAGGGAGGGAGGGGTAAATAGAGGATGCCCATGATCCAGTTCGAGGAGTCAGGAAAGATCTCCTGGGATGGAGATGGGCGGCATCTGAACCAGGTGTTGAAGGCTGAGTGGGAGGTCGGCCAATAGAAGTGGGAGCATGTTCCTACAGCCTGGGCCAGCCCTGTGCTAGGCTCTGCCCTGGGGCAGATGGGTAGAGAGAGCTGGGGTGGGGGGCAGGCATATGGCCTCCTGTGTGTGAAAGTTGAGAAAACAAGAGCTGTCCCATAGCCACCCTCCAGACAATGGCAAGAGTGGCTCAGATGTTCCAGGCTGTGGGGGCTCAGCAGAGGGAGGAATCAAGGAGTGCTTCTTCGAAGAGGTGGAGCTTGACCTGGGGAGGAATCCAAAAGGCAGAGAGAAGAAGGCTGCTCCTGATGGAAGGCACTGTGTGTGTATAAAACCCAAAGGTAGAGATGTGCTGAATCTGGCCGTAAATCAACAGTGAGTTTCAGTTAAGCCCAGGAGGGGGTGATGTGGGTGGGACCAGAGCACTGAACTCCAGGAAAAGACCCAGACCCTACCTCTTCTCCACCTACCTCTTCAAATGTGCCTCTTTCAGCCTCAGGGTCTCCTGGGAGTCTGAGGACCCCTCCACCAGGACCCCCAAGTGAGGGGAAATAGCCCTTCAACCCTGCTTCATTCTAGAAGTCAACAGCTTGAAGAGATGCAGGGCCACCAGGAGGCTGCAACATAGAGATGCAGAGGTCCCGTGGCCAGGAGCCTGCCAACCAGTCTCAAGACAGACTGTTCCATGGGTTCTGCTCCCGCCCTCCCAGCTCCATCATTCTGGCCTGTGGGTGCCTGGAAGCTGCTGGAGGCCATCTCATGGAGGCATCTCAAACAAAGACTTGAGCCTTCAAAAGCTTTGGAAAGGCATCTTCACTGAAGATCTCTGAGGAGGCAGCGAAGGGGATTCCACCACATAAGGCCTCTTTACCTGTTCTTCCCACCCACCCCTCTTTTCAGCCCCACCTGTACAGCTCCTCCTCCTCTCTGCAACTTTTCCTCATATCTCCACCACCCCGCCCACCCCATCCACCATCACTTCTCCTCCAGTCCCTGTTCCCTCCTCCCAGATCTCAGCTTTCCTCCTATAGAACAATCTAGCCTGCCCTTGGCTGCTGGTGTACCACTCAGACCCTGCACACAAACCAGCCATGACAAAAAAATTTACCTTCTCAGAAGGTAGAGGGGAGAGAGAGCAGAGGAAGGACTGCATAACTTAGTATTTTGCTTTTAGCCTTGTCTCATCTCCAAGGCTGTTGGGCCATGGGGCCCTTCAGAGAAGGACTCCGCCGGAGTTAAACTCCATAGTCATGTCAGAGAAGTGCTTGCAGCTGGCTGAGGAAGGGGGCAAACCAGGCCCAACCCACCTTGGGAATCCATCAAAATGCCCTTCTGAAGAGGCTGATAATTTGGACAGAAGGAACTTTGATTCTTTGGGTCACAGTGAAAAGATGTGAGGAAGTGTCAGAAGAGGTCTATTCCCTATACAATGCGATGTCATGCCAAGTAGTACAGATGTTAGCTACCCTGTGTCTTGTTCCGAGTCTGAGACCAGACTGGTCAGCTGCCTGTCACGGGGGAGTAGGGGAATGGGCGAGCAGAAGGCAGAGGGCCTCGCCCACAGTGCTGGCTGAGCCCCGTGGAGAGTCGCAGATAACCATCCTAGCAGACTGCCAAGAACTGTGACCCTTTGGTCACTTTTCCAAGAGTGGGAATTGTGGGCCACAGGTAAATTGCATTCCCAGCTTCCCTTTGTGAGGCAGAATAGCATAAAGGGTAAAGACTCCAGAGCCAGGTCACCTTGGTGTTTATCTTGGCTCTACCACTTAGTAGCTGTCTTACTCTGGGCAAGTTATTTAGCCCCTTTGTACCTTAACTTCCCTAGCTGTAAAATGGGAATAGTAAATCTTGTAAAGTAGTTGTGAGGATTAATATGTGCAAAGAACTTAGAATAATGCCTGGAACATAGTAAGCATGCAATGCATGGTACTGTCATAATGATTTTGCCTTTTGTGCACCCAAGTTCCTCCAGAGTCTCTCTCTAGGAATTGGCCTAGGAGGTTTCTAAACAAGGGGCTTTGAGCAGAGGATTTTTCCTTTTCCTTCACATGGGAGGCAGCTGGTCTTTTAAGAAAAAACAAAAACAAAAACAAACTCAGCACACTTTTTTCAGAACAAGGCCCATAATCCATGAGCCCCAGCTGTTCCTGTAAGAAGGAAAAGTCATTTATTACATGCCAGTATGAGGGACTTCAAGTGCCATTTGGGAAGCTTGAATTGCCCCTTCCTTTCCCCTCCTTTTGTCCCCACCCCCCACTCTCTCTCCTCACTTTAACCCAGAGCACACTCCGTGGTGGGGGATCACACTGGGGATGCCTGCTTGCTGGGGTGGAGACAGAGGGGATATAGACCGAGGTGTGGAGGTAGAGCGTGGTGAGGGGTCGGGGGAGCACATGGGTTCACAGGGGTCCAAGGTTATTCTCAAGGCTTGGGGAAGACTTCCTGGGGGGTAGAGTGGTGCAGCTGGGGCTTGAAGAGTGGATGTAATTAGACTGAAGATGAGAGGGTCATGTTGTTCCTGGTGCGGGGAACAGCACAGCCCAAGGCATGGAGGCTGTTGGAGGATGGATAGGAGGGTTGTGGCCTAAGACCAGGCTGGAGAGTTGGCAGGGCTAGAGAGGCAAAGGCTTGGTGCCAGCCCAGGAAAGCACCAGGGAGCCACGACAATGACAGCAGTGGCCATTTGCTGGGCTCTGCAGGTTCTAGGCATCATACAGTGTGCTGTATACACATTTTCTCATTTAATCCTTACAATACCTCCAATTACAGATGGGGAAACAGGCCCGGATGTGGGAATTGATGTGTCAAGGTCACACAGCCTTTCTCTAACCCAGATAGTAGGTGCCCCCCTCCACCTCTCCCATCCTCCCACCCTTTCCTTTCCTTTCTTCACTTGCCTTCCAAGTGCCCACCTGCCTCAGCCAGTCCCAGTAACTGGGGACCCCTTAGGAAGTTATGACAGAGACAGCTAAGTGCCAACCACAATATCAACTCTCTTTTAATTGGGCACGTGGTCTCCTAGGATGAAAACTTCATTTCCCAGCCTTACTCGCAGCTAAATATGACCACGTAACTTAATCTTGGGTAATGGAAGATAAGCAAAGTGCCCTAAGGCAATTTAATATGGGGAGGGGGTGAATGTCTGTAAAAGAGAGATAGTGTCTGTCCTTTGCCTCCCCTCCTTTCTTTCTGCTTACAATGGGGACATGACAGCTGGAGCACCATCTTGGACCGTGAGAAACAGCTTGGGTTTCTGACCATTCCAGTTTGGGACCACCTAAATCTGGACTTTTGCACAAGAGAGAAATAAATGTCTATCTTTTCTTTTTTTTAAAAGATTTATTTGAGAAAGAGAATGAGATAGAGAGCATGAGATATAGAGAGAGCATGAGAGAGGGGAGGGTCAGAGGGAGAAGCAGACTCCCTGCTGAGCAGGGAGCCTGATGCGGGACTGGGACTCCAGGATCATGACCTGAGCCAAAGGCAGTCGTTGCCCAACCAACTGAGCCACTCAGGCGCCCCAAATGTCTATCTTTTCTAAGTCACAAGTTTTTCGGGCTCTTGTTAGCCATAGCCAAATGAATCCCTTTACTCGGATTCTATCCTAAGGTGGTAGACCTAGGCGGAGGCTAGGCAGTGTCCTGGACTGGGGTGGGGGCCAGGGTCTAGCCTGGTGACAAGCTAGGAGTCAACAGGGTCTGGAGATACCCAGGAAGGCTTAGAAAAGTTGCAAAGCTTGGGGAGTGGTCATGCTGCTTTTGGCTGGAGGCTGAAGGGATAGATGTGTTTCCTGAGGGACAGAGTAAGAAGGAAGGGCCTGGAGAGAACCCTGGGAACTCCATTAAGGGGTTGGGCAGGAGGGGGAGCCAGAGATGTGGCAGGTCAAAGCCTGGGGGTTTCTGAATGATTGTGGCAGGGGAGCTGGGTGAGTGGGGGAGGAAGTGGAGGTGATGGGTGGAGAAGAAAAGAGAGAAGTTTCCCAGGGAGGCCAGGTCCAGGGAAGATGCTTCTATGACAGGAGACCTGTGAGTGTTGGCTGTTGTAGGTTGAGGACAGGGGCAGGGCCAAAGATGGAGGAGCCAGAGAGTTAGGGACCAGTTTGTCCTTTTGGAAAAGCCCAGGGGCACTGGATCTGTCCTAGGAATAGATGCAGCTTTCTCCTCCCTCCCTCAGTCATTTGTTCGACACACATTCTCTCTGCTCCTCCACGGACCCAGACCCTACCCTCAAAAAGAATCTTGGGGAGGGGTGAGGGTACAGACAAGGAAAGAGTTCAACCACTAAACAACATTTATTGAGCACCTACTGTGTGCCAGGCATCATGCTGAGCAGTGGGTCCCTGTCCTCAGGGAGTTCCTAGTCTGATGGAGGAGAATGGCAGTAATGAAATAAACATAACCCTGGATCATTACAGCAGGGGAGGAGAGCTTACAAGAACATAAAGAGGGGTAGGGGGCAGGGCACCTGGGTGGCTCAGTCAGCTGAGCTTTTGACTCTTGGAGTTGAGCATCTGACTCTCGGTTTCGGCTAAAATTGTGATCTCAGGGTCATGGGATCAAGCCCTGCTTCGGGGTCCACGCTCAGTGGGGAGTCTGCTGGAGATTCTCTCCCGCTCTCCCTCTGCCCCTTCCCCTTCTCTAAAATAAATAAATAAATCTTAAAAAAGGGGGGGCTGGGGGCAAGGAAGGCCTCACTAGGGAGACTATAATCTCATGTAATGGTCAGGGGCTGAGAGATGCTGAGGATCAGGGGGGCTGTGACTCAGCTTGAGAGGCAGAGAAGGCTTCTTAGCAGAGGCCCAGTGGTTTCAGAAGGTATTACTAGCTCAGTGCAGAAGGGCTGTTACTGACTTCGTGACTTTGAATAAGCCAGTTTACTTCTCTAAGCCTCTGTTTCCTTACCTGTAAAAAGGTGATAATACTACCAGCCCTCTCTAAGCCACCAGGGGTACTGCGCATGGAAAAGTTAGGGCCGAATTATCATCAAGTACAAAAAAGTATGATAACCCAATAGAAGAGGCAAAAACAGGCATTTCACCTAAAAGGCAACACAGATAATTTAAAACAAACAAACAAACAAAAAACACAGAGGTATTTGATCCTAGCTTGACCATGCCTCTTGAATGCTGAGTAGTCACCTGGCCCGTTACCCTGAGCACTCCTGCGCATGTGCACATGGTGTCCTGCACAGTGCTCCAAGCAGCACCATTCACAAGAGCAAACACCTGGAAACACTCCACTGCCCGTCCACGAGAGAATGGATGAATACACTGTGCTATATTCACACACTGGAATATTACCTGCAGTCAGGATGCCCTTTACCCATGTGTAACAATATGGATAATCCAAGCAGTATAATATTAAGTACAAAGATGTCTCAAAAAACGTATACACAGCAAGATGCCCTTTTGATAAAGACAACTAAAATGAAACTATATACTTTGAAGGAATACACAGATGCAGCAAAACTATACAAAAAGGAAAGCAAGGGCATGCTGAACACAGGAGGTAATGGCTATCCTGGGTGGCACAGCAGCAGGAGAATGGGTTAGGGAAACACTGTCAAAGTCCTAGTTGTTTTGTTTTGGGATGGGAGCCAATTAAACAAGTGGTGAGAATGTGTCATGAACAAAAGTTTATAAATAATCCAATTCTATGCATTTGAGTTCTAATCATACAGGAAAGGCGACAATCTCAGGTCATTTCTAATTGACTTGGGAATGGAGTCAGGAGCCCGATTCCCCCCAAGACAGTTCCTTCCTGGAGCTCATTACTTCTTGGGGTCCTCTCACTCCTCATTTTTTTTTCCCCTCTTAAGTACTCAAGGCCCATCACTGGATATGACTAGGACCCTCACAATTTGACTATCTTGATTTCTCCAGGGGATTTACAGCCCTGACCTTGCTGGGTCACCATGACTACTGGGTAGGTGGGTTAATGTTTTCATTCCCCTTTCATAGGTGAGGAGCCTGAGAGTGACCTACTGAGGGTCATCTGGCATGTCTCTGAGGTTGCCTGCATTGGGCCCAGCTCTAGACTCCCAACACAGTGTTCCTCTCTCCACCTTGGTGCCCAGTGTTTCCAGCCACTTCCTAGATGAGTCTTTGAAGGGCTAAACACAATCAGGGTCCCTCTGTACCTGGAAGATGATTTGTCTCATCATGAGTCAGAAGGAGCTGAGGCTGGGAGGACTCATGGGGTGCTGGAAGCAGCCAAGCCACTCTCTGATTGGGTAAGTGTCCCACTGGGTGGAGGCCCACCCCAGATCCTTAAACACCCTCCTTCCCCACCAAGGGGAATTCCTGATCCAGAGGCCCCAGTCAGCCCACCTCCAGGCCAAGCTGCAGGGTGCTGAGGTGACCTGAGTCTCTGCTCCTGTCCATCAGTTTGCCCACCTGTGATATGGGAATAAAAACCTCTATTCCAGAACTGATATGAAGACAAAATATGACAGGATGTGAAAGAGTTTGGAAAAGTACAAATTTCAGATGGCAGGGACCATTGTTATTGGAGGAAAGCAGTGACTCCCAGGATGAGGGTCCCCCCACCAAAAAAGAAGAACACTCCAGAACAAACAAGAGTCTGACTTCAATAGAGGTAGAGAGATACCTTTGGGGAAATCTAGACCCACTCTTCACTTTTCAGATGAGGCAGCTGAGGCCCAGGGAAGTGTAAGGATATACCCAAGGTCACACAGCAAGGCAGAGGTAGAGAGAGGCACTAGGCCAGGCAGGGCTCTCTTCCTTGCCATCAATTCCCCAGTGAAGGAGAGATGTCCTTCTGAGGCAGAGGTGAGGGACTTACAGGAGGCTGGTCTCCACTCAGAGAGGAAGTTTTCTCCCTACAGGGATTTGCCACGGACCCAAGGGAAGCAGTAGGGAGGGTGCCAGGTCCTGGCTGAATCCTCCCTTTCTCATGCAGTAGTCAATCAATCCCTCAGTGTCTACCATCCTGCCCTATGCCCATCCCTGCCCCTCTCATCTGGACCACGGCCTCCTGCTCCCAGGGCCTGCCAGCCTAGTGAGGCCCAGCCACAGTCCTCTTGGGCCAAGGGGAGTGTGAGTCAGACTAGGTTATCCTCTATTCCTGGGGAAGGTGAGCCCAGGCCCAAGAAGGAAGAAGAGGATGCTGGGGGCTCAAGGAGAGAGAAGCCCCTTCTTCATCAGGGATCTGGGACCAGTGAAGACTAGAGGAGCACTGTGTTTGAAGCTCCTCAAATCTGAATTTGAGTCATTGAAGGTACTGCCATTTTTTGACTTTGACAGTGATCAAAATTAAATCTCCTTCATGACCCATAGAAAAGAAGCAATATTGGGGCGCATGGGTGGCTCAGTCGTTAAGCGTCTGCCTTCGGCTCAGGTCATGATCCCAGGGTCCTGGGATCGAGCCCCACATCGGGCTCCCTGCTCCGCGGGAAGCTTGCTTCTCCCTCTCCCACTCACCCTGCTTGTGTTCCTGCTCTCGCTGTCTCTCTCTCTGTCAAATAAATAAAATCTTAAAAAAAAAAGAAAAGAAAAAGAAAAGAGGCAATATTATCTACCTACAGGGTGGTTCTAGGATTAAATAAAATGAATGAAATAATATTACCCATACATCCAAGGCACTCCATAAATCCCCATTGGTTCATTCAGATGTCAAGGAGCTGCCTTGCATTTAAGTTGGGACCCTGAGGATGTATGGGACCTCACAGAAGCAGGTGGGGGTGGGGAAGGCCCTAGTACCCGGGACAATGGGAAACTTGCCAGACCGGGACAGAGGTGCAAGGCGAGCCCAAGGTTGGATCAGCTTGAAGTCAGAGAGGCGACCCGCTCGCTCTGTTAGGACGGTGGAGGGCCGCAAGTAGGCGTGTCGGTTTGGCAGTGGCAAATCAAGGGCGTTTCCGTTGAAGCTCGTGTTGTGTGTGAGGCCAAAGGGGCTTTGCGAAGGGACTAGGTTTGAAATGGCTCTTGAAGAGATTAGGAAAGCCCTGAAAGGAAGTAAAGGAAATGAAGTCTTCCCAACACTCCCATTTTTTGGTGTTGGGAACTGCTTTACCTGTCCTGGACTCCACGGGGTGGGCGAATCCGGCCGGTAGAGGGCGTAAGAGCCGCGTATCACGGAGCTCAGGAGGAGGGGCGGGGGGACGCAGGGCGGAGCATCGAGGAGAGGGGCCTCCGAGATGGCGGGGGCAGGTGGGGGGGGGCGTGACTAGGGTGGGCAGCGGGAAACGTGAGGGCGGGTGGGGGAGTGGCCACAAAGGGTGGAGCACCTGGAGCGATGTGGGAGGGTCAGAGCTGGACAGGCCGCAGATGTACGAGGGGCGGGGCCTTTGGGGGCGCGGAAGGCTGACCGGGTCTCCGTGACAGTAGGATTCACGGCGGAGGGCCGGGTGGGGGCGTGGCCTGGGCTGGGCGGAGGGGTGGGGCAGGGAGCCGCAAGCGCCCAGGTCGGCCGTGGCGCTCACTGCTCCCCCTGGCGGCGAGTCCCGCCCCCTTCCTGCTGGAAGAGTGTTTCTGGGTGTACCTGAATGTCGGTGTGTACCAGTTTATGGGTCGAAGGTTGCCATGTTGGGGTTCCTTGGGCAGAAGGGGTTACCGCGCAGAAGCGTCTGAACCGCAGTCGGTGCTCAGCCCCGGCTGTGTGTCGGCGGAGCTGACCACACTCAGAGGTTTCGTGCGTCGCAGCGAGTCCTTGGGGGGGCAGCTTGGCCAATGGGTTCCAGAAGGGGTCCTGTGGAGGGTCGCTTCGGTCTGCATGTGCTCAAGCAGTCTTGTTTCTCCTTCGACTCCTCCCCGATTCCCTCCCCCCGAAACCCCGATTCCCAGCCTTGCGCGCGCCCGGAGCCCACCCCCTCTTTTGGGCGCGAGGCCCCGCCTCCCACCCCCTTTCCTCAGCCACAAAGTTTATTTGCAACAAAAGGGAGCGCGGAGCGAGCAGCCAAGAGGGAGGGAGCGGGAGCCGGAGCGGGAGCGCGAGGGAAGGCAGGCAGGCCGGCTGGCGGGCGCGGAGCCGAGGAACAGAGCCCTGGGATCCTGCCCGGACCGGGCCGGGCCGCGATGCTCCGAATCGCCCCGGCCGAAGAGGGGGCCGGCCCCGGGGGTCGGCGCTGAGGCGGGAGGGACCGCGCTGGATGGAGCCGATGCCGCCCGCGGCCTCAGAAACTTGAGCCGCGGCAGATAAAACCTCTGCTTGAGTCTCTGCGCCCTCTCCCCGCAAATCCCCTCACACTGCTGCTGCAGAACCCAGGCCTTCGGACCCCGGCTGCTGCGCTCCTTCGGGGCGAGGGCGCAAGGGGGGGGGTTGGCCGCGGCTCCCCGAGGCCAGCCCCCCCAGAGTGAGTGTTGCCACCATGGCGGACGGGGCGCCCCGGTCCCCGCTCTATCGCAGCGTCTCGTTCAAGCTGCTGGAACGCTGGAGCGGCGGGCCCGGGCCGAAGGAAGAGGCCACGGACACCCCCGGGTTGCGGCGCCGCGCCTCGTGCCGGCCTGCCGCGTCGGTCCCGGGCCAGCCCTCCCGGCGCGTGTCCAAACTGGCGTCGGGGCCTCCGGCCTCCCCCGCGCAGCCGCGCCCGCTCCGCAGCCTCTCGCCGTCGGTGCGCCAGCTCTCCCGGCGCTTCGACGCGCAGCGCCTGGACGACGACCACGCAGGGGCCCGAGACGGGGGCGTCTCCCCCGGGGCCGCGGAAGAAGCGGCGGAGGGCGCGGCGCGCGGCGCCTGGCCCAGCGTCACCGAGATGCGCAAGCTCTTCGGTGGCCCTGGCTCCAGGCGGCCCAGTGCCGACTCTGAGGCCTCGGGGACGCCCAGCCCCGACGGTGCCGTGTGGGAGCCCCCGGCCCGCGAGCCCCGGCAACCGCCGACGCCACCTCCTCGGACGTGCTTCCCCCTGGCGGGCCTGCGTTCCGCGCGGCCGCTACCCGGCCCAGGGACCGAGGGGAGGAGGCGGCGGCAGCAGCAGCAGCAACAGGAGCGGGCGCCGCGTCCGGCGGATGGTTTACATTCTTGGCATAGCTTCTCCCAACCGCAGGCCGGGGCCCGGGCCTCCTGCTCCTGCTCCTCCTCCATCGCCTCCTCCTATCCTGTCAGCCGCGGCCCGGCTGCCAGCTCCAGCGAGGAGGAAGAGGAGGTCCCGCCGCCGCCGCCGCCCGGGGCGCAGAGTCCGGCCTACCACGGAGGCCACTCCTCGGGCAGTGACGAGGACCAGGACGGTGAGGGCGGCCACCGCTGGGGAGGGAGGCCGGGACCCAGGCCTGGAAGCTCCCTCTTGGATAAGGACTGTAGGCCAGACAGTTATGGGTTAAATCTGGGCAGCATGGATTCAGCTGAAGGAGCCAGGAGTCCTGAGCCCCCCAAATCTCCAAGAGCCTCTAGTGAGGAAGGACCCCGGGAGTGGGGTACTGGCTCGCCTCACTGTGGACCAGGTCCTCAGGAGGGACTCCGGCCCATGTCTGACACTGTGGGGGGAGCTTTCCGCGTGGCCAAGGTGAGCTTTCCTGCATACCTAGCCAGCCCAGCAGGCTCCCGCGGTAGCAGCCGCTATTCCAGCACGGAGACCCTCAAGGATGAGGACCCATGGGCTAGTCGGGGTTCTGGGGGCTGGGGCATGTACCGCTCCCCTAGCTTTGGAGCTGGAGAGGGGCTCCTCGTAAGGCCCCAGCCTCGAACCCGCACCAAGGGACCTGTGGGCACCACGAGGGCATTGAGAGATGGAGGACTGGAGTTGGACAAAAGCCGGCAGCGGAAGTCCTTGTCGAATCCAGATATTGCCTCAGAGACCCTGACGCTGCTCAGTTTCCTTCGCTCAGACCTTTCAGAGCTCAGGGTCCGAAAGCCCAGTGGGCGCCCCAGTGACCTCGGGAGCGGCCCCAACTTAGATGGCAGAGACTCACCAGCAGCAGGTGGCCCCAGGGCACAACTTGGACCCACGCCTGCCCCAGCGTCACCTGGCACCCGTCCCACACTCAAAGACTTGACGGCCACCCTTCGGAGGGCAAAGTCTTTTACCTGCTCTGAGAAGCCCGTGGCCCGCCGCCTATCCCGCACCAGCGCCCTGAAGCCCAGCTCCTCTGAGCTCCTGCTGGCAGGCCCAAGTGCCGAGGAGGACCCACTGCCCCTGGTTGTCCAGGATCAGTATGTACAAGAGGCCCGTCAGGTTTTTGAGAAGATCCAGCGAATGGGTGCCCAACAGGATGACGGAAGTGATGTCCCCCCTGGAAGCCCTGTCTGGGCAGGAGACATGACCCAAGGGCAGCGGTCCCAGGAGGAGCTCTCTGGCCCCGAGTCTAGCCTGACAGATGAGGGCATTGGGGCAGACCCTGAGCCTCTTGTTTCAGCCTTTTGCAGCCTGGGTACCACGGGGGTGTGGCGACCCCTTTCCTCGTCTTCAGCCCAGACCAACCACCATGGCCCTGGGGCTGAAGATAATCTGGGAGGGTGGGCCCTGGTGTCCCCTGATACCCCTCCCACACCAGGTGCCCTCCGACGGAGACGCAAAGTCCCTCCTTCAGGCCCTGGTGGGACTGAACTGAGCAATGGAGAGGCAGGTGAGGCCTACCGGTCTCTGAGTGACCCAATTCCACAGCGCCACCGGGCTGCCACCTCCGAGGAGCCCTCTGGGTTCTCCGTGGATAGCAACCTTTTGGGCTCGCTGAGCCCCAAGACAGGGCTTCCAGCGGCCCCAGCTGTGGACGAGGGCTTGACCAGTGGCCACAGTGACTGGTCTGTGGGCAGTGAAGAGAGCAAGGGTTACCAGGAGGTTATTCAGAGTATTGTTCAGGGGCCTGGTGCTTTGGGGTGTGCGGTGGACGACAGGGTTGCTGGCAAAGCCCCGAAGAAGAAATCTCTGAGTGACCCCAGCCGCCGTGGGGAGCTGGCTGGGCCTGGATTTGAGGGCCCGGGAGGGGAGCCCATCCGAGAAGTCGAGCCCGTGCTGCCTCCATCTAGCAGTGAGCCCGTTCTTGCAGAGCGGCGGGCAGAACCAGAAGAACCCAGTCCTGCCAGGGGCCGGGCACAGTCTGAGAGGGCCCTACCCAAGACCCCACCTGCCTCCTCCACTGGCCGCCGCGACTTCCACCTTGACCCTAAACTGGCTGATGTTCTGTCCCCACGGCTCATCCGACGGGGTTCCAAGAAGCGTCCAGCCCGGAGCAGTCACCAGGAACTGCAGAGAGAGGAAGGCAGTGAGGACCAGACCAGCAACCTGTCACGGGCCCGACCATCCTCCAAACACGTTCGCCATGCGAGTGTGCCCGCCACCTTCACACCTATTGTGGTGCCTGAGCCACCGACTACTGTTGGCCCCCCTGTGGCTGTGCCCGAGCCCGTGGGCTTCCCGGCCAGGGCCCACTCCACGCTGCAGGCACCGTCACTCGAGGATGTCACCAAGCAGTATATGCTGACCCTCCACGCTGGCGAGGTTCCTGCCCCGGCACCAGTGGATATGCCCTGCTTGACTCCTGTTGCACCGCCTTCGGCTGAGGCCAAGCCCCCTGAGGCAGCCCGGGCTCCAGATGAGCCTGCCCCAGCCGGCCAGTGCTGCAGCAAGCCACAGGTGGTGAGTCCTTGGGGGGGGGGGGGGCTTTGGGGGGGGGAAGAAGGGCTGTGGGCGCTGACTTCCACAGGAGCCTTTTGAGTGTGCTCATTGGGTAGGTGCCCAGGTCTGAGGGTGCTTCCCTGGTCCTGGGAGTGCCCAGGGAGTTTTAAGGGTGTTAATGACCCAGGGCTCCTGTCTACTCAGGCCCGAAGGCTTCTGCTGGTGCTGATGTCAAAGGTTCTCGCCTGCTTCGAGGTATTCTGGGTGATAATTACAAAGGGTTCTAATCTAGTCCTTTAGCTGTTTCTCGGGGATTGGTTTTAGAGATTCCTATCTGGTTCTTTTTTATAAACACGCAAGGAGGTGGTGAGGGTCTTTCCTGAGTCGTGCTGCCCTATCGGCCAGACCCCTTGTAGGATGTTCGGGCTTGGGGCCCACAGTTGACATAGGTTTGTACTTCCTCATGTGGGCCTCCTGCGGCAGATCAAAATGTGGGTCTGTCCCCGAGCCTGGGAGAATTAGAGCGGTACAGGCATTACTTTACGGAGGAGCAAAAAAGACTCCATAAAGTACTTTGGTAGCTCTGGCCTTTCTCTGTGCCTCAGCCTCCCCATCTGTGAAAGCAGGGGCTTGTGGACAGGGTCCTTATGTCTCCATCCAGCTGGTACTGCACAGATTTGGGAGTTCACAGGTTGGAGTTGAGGCGCTCTTGTGCCTGAGGTCTGCCAGCACTTCTTCTGATTAGAGTGGGGGCTTTCAGGGGAGAGCAGGGACAGAAAAGAGGCTGCCCAGGCTCAGCAGACAGGGGCCTGGAGAGAGTTTGGGAGTGGCTCCAGCCCCCACAGGCAGGGCTGCCGCTGTGCAGAGGGTGGGGGCACTGGTCCCCCATCCCTCCAGCTTTCATCTCTCCCACCCCACCCCCTTCCTGGTGACTCTGAAGTGCTTCCCCCTTCCTCTGCCAGACCCCAAGCCCCAGGGACTCAATCTTTCTTTCTTTCTTTCTTTTTTTTTTTAAAGATTTTATTTATTTATTTGACACAGAGAGACACAGCGAGAGAGGGAACACAAGCAGGGAGGAGTGGGAAAGGGAGAAGCAGGCTTCCCGCCGAGCAGGGAGCCCGATGCGGGGCTCGATCCCAGGACCCTGGGATCATGACCGAGCCAAAGGCAGATGCTTAACGACTGAGCCACCCAGGCACCCCAAGGGACTCAATCTTTCTGAGGCCCCCACTTCTGCCTTCAGATGTCCCTGGAGTTTTGGCTGTGGGTTCCAATAGGTTCTAGGTGCCATGATGCCCCCGCCTCTGAAATGGAAGCTCGGTTTTGGGTTTTGGGTTCTGGGCCTAGTGTGGGGATGGCTCAGGGTTATTTCAACCACGGCCTACACTCCCACTATGTTCCCTGCCTGTGTGAAGAGCCTGGAAGCCCTAAAGCCTGGACTAATTTGGTCACTCCCTGTTCCCAGCACTCTCACGGCCCCTCTGAACTCTTTCTTTGTTTCTCTTTCCTTGTCTCTGTTTCCCCCTTGTCCTGGCTCTGGTGTCTCTCACAGAGGCCACAGAGAGAGCCAGCAGGCAGGGAGTGGGGAGACTGGAAATTTTGGACCTATCCTTCCTTGTGAGAGCCTGGTGGGACAGCTCTGATTGCCCCTAACGCCAGTGCCAGTTGTCTTTCGAACATAGGGGTGGGGGAGGGCAAGGGCAGCTCCTGCCAGGGGCCCCTTCCCCGGCTGTCTTTCCCACATAATTATCTCCTCAGGGAGCCTTGAAGGCTAAATTAGGGAAGAAGGCAAGAATGAACCAATGGACTCAGGGAAACTGTGGGAGGGGGGTGCTCCTAAGAAGAAGCATTGAGACTCAGAGAGGAGGTGGGAGTTTTTGCAGAATTGGCTTTTGGTCTGCCTCCCTTCGTATTGTCCCCTTGTCCCACCAACTTCAGGGAGAGGCTTAGCCCCCTCCACCCCCAGAGGGCTATGAGGTGGGGCATATCTGCTCATAATACAGGCTTCTCCCTGTCCTCAACAGAGCATCTCTCCAGCCTCCAAACCTTAGCCCACTCTAGTCCTCCCACCTTTCTAGACCTAGCTTGATGTTCCCTCTTGCCTCGTAGAGAAAAGAACTAGTAAGTCTATATTTGGAAGAGCAGGGTTTGAGCCGAGGCTCCAGATCCCTGTGTGGCCTAGGATCAGTCACATCCCTGCCCTATACCTCACTTTCCCTTTCTGTAAAATGGGGGTAATGGTTTCTGCCTGGCAGGCTCTTGTAGGGTGAGTGGATGGTGTGATCACTCCCTCCCTGGGGACAGGAGAGAGGGGGGACAAAACAGACTCCACTGCCCCAGCTACTTCTCAGTGACCAGCCGTGGCCCCTCCTCCCTGTCCCCTGCTGGTTTCTGAGCACAGGGCTGGGCACTCTGAGCCTCAGTATTACCTGGTGGACTTGAATTGGCTCAGAAGAGAATCACTATCCCCTAATTCCCCAACCCCCTCATAAAGCCTGGAAGTTCTCCCATCTACTAGCCCAAATCCCCTCTGCTATACCCTTCCTTCTGCCTCCAGGAAGATGGGGAGCAGCTGTTCACCCCCTCGTTATGGCCTTCGTGGAAGAGACAATGTTCCCTTGTTTCGGGCCTGGGGCTCCAGTCACGCTCCCTGGGCTGTGGGTGGAGATGGTGTGGTGTGAGCTCCAGAATAAGAAGGGAAGAGAAGAGGCTTTCACACTTTGCTGATGAAGCAGAAACCAGGCTGAACCCAGCCAGGGGCAAACAAGAGAGGCCCTGGGGGGTAGAGGTGGCCCCTGACCCAACCCCAGGCTTTGGGGAGTCCCTCAAACTCGGGTCTCTCCCAACCCAGAAGCTGCATTTGCCCTCTGCATGGCATATCCCCATTGTGAGCAGGTGGCCTGGGTACTAGGCCCGGCCCGGCCTCTGACTCGCTCTGAGACCTGGACAGAGTCATCTTGGGCCTTGATTTTCCCATCTGTACAGTGGGATGTTAGACACCCTGGTCTTTGAAGCTCTGAGGGAGGACAGCCTGCAGAGTGGTCAACGGAAACAGGAAGCGTTGGAGTGCTGCTGGAAGAGAAAGGAAAGGCAGCTCTGTGCAACAGCTGTGAGAACCTAGGAGCCCAGGGAATAAGGAATAGCTCGTGGTCATTTTATTCTCTGAACACCTGCTTGTGTTTCCGCTGGGAGCAGGCAGCAGAGCCTCCATGCCCTGCGCCTGCCGCACCCCTTGTCATTTCCACTTAGACCCGCAATAGCCTGGATGATAGACTTCTTTCCAGGGATTCCCCTACCCTGGCCTTAAAGTACAGAGTCTTATAGCCCAACTTTCTTTCCTCAGGTACTGATACTCATTTGACAGCTGTGACAATTCTAGCCCAGAAACAGGAAATGACTTGTGTCTCGGAATCACAGATGGATTGACTCACAGGATTTTAGCATACTGGAATAGCAGTAACAGTGGCTAAAATTTATTAAGTGCTTAGTGTATGCCAGATATCTGAATGTTTCATTCTTCAAGTGTAAAAGCTGTGAGAATCTTCCAGTGCTGAATTCTTAGAATTGCAGGCTGGTAGATTCCTGCTGAGTCCTAGAATGTCAGTGTCTTAGAGGTGAAGGAGCCCAAGCAATCCCTGTTTCTTGGTGGGATTGGCCTGCCATCTAAGTAAGGGGGACAGGGTCAGGGGGGAGTTGGGGGGGTCACCCGCATACCCCTAACAGCCTGAACACCTTCCTGGTGGTTATTTAATTCACTGGGACCTGGGGGTGGGATGGAAAGAACTTTGAGACTCAGAAAGGAGAATGCTGCATCTAAGGTCACACAGCTAGGCAAGGCACAGCCAGGCCCAAGCACCAACCCCCTGCCCCAGCAGACATGCCCACCCCCCACCCCCAGCTTGCCCAGCCAGCTCCCTGCCTTGCTGAGGAAGGCCTGGGTTGCAGCTCTTCATCACCTTTCTTCTCTCTGTGTCCCCTTGGCTGTGAACCCATGGGGGCGGGGGTTCTCTCCTTTCCCTCCTTGGCTCTTTGCTCTAATTTTTCCATGGAAACTGGTTCTGGGAGGGGAGGCAATCAGGACATTTGGAGTTCTGTGTAGTACCAAATATCTATAATTAAATGTCTTGTCACCCAGTAGGAGGGTGGGATGGAGAGGACAGGCAGAGGGCTGTCCCTTTCTTCTGTTTATTCCCGCCCCCCCTACTCCTTCCTAAGGGTCCAGGACTATTGGAGGGAGTACAGTCCAGGAATGGGTCCCCCCCCAAACATGGAAGAGTTGGGGGATGGACCAGAGTTGAGTCTGACATTTTTCAGCCCCACATTTCTGGGACGAGCTAGGTTTGGGATGCTCTGGGCTGCTGCTAATCCTGTCCCCAGCACCCTCTCAGTGTAGGAACTTGCCCCTCCTGCTTCCTTCCCCTCCCCCCCATCTGTGATCTCAGGCTACACATGCTGCCCTGCAGCAGATGGAGGCACCCCCAGGCCAGGGGAATCAGACACTCAGAGAGTTCAGAATCTAGAAGCAGACCAAAGGGCCTGTAGGATGTTGGGGAATCGGCCTGAGGGCTGGCAGGGGAAACTTCTTGGAGGAGGCTATGCCTGGAGCCTGGCCTTGAAAACTGGAAGAGTTTGTATAGCCAGAGAAGAGAGGGAGGGTTCTAGGAGGAGGGCACAACGTGAGCAAAGGCTAGGAAGTAGGAAAGACATGGCAGGTTGTGTGTGGTAGGAGTTTCAATCGAGACGTGGGTGACCCTTGATAGAGCAATGCATTCATCCCTTTAACAAATACTTACTGAGCTCCTGGATGCGCTGGGCACTCTCCCAGGTCCTGAGGATACAGTAACAAACAAAACAAAGGCCTGGCCTCATGGAGCTTCCAGACTAGTGAGGAGACCTGTGTGTAAATGGATATATTATGTGTCAGGGAGAGGTAGGGGCTAGAGAGCAAAAGAAAGCAGGTTAAGGGAGTAGAGACTGACAGGGAGGGAGTACAATCTTAGATCAAGAGGTCTGGGAAAGCC